TGGGTAGGTCTCTATTCACTTCTATAATCGTTATTACAAAGCAAATTGTAAGAAAAAATGAAGTGGAGGTCGAAGATCTCAAAAATGAAGTTTATTACAGCATAGCAGTGGCAAGGGACACGACTCACCTTGGGTTCACCGGCGTCAGAATGAACCCAGAACATTCAAATCGTCCACCTTTTATCCTGTTACTGTCCTCTTCATGTAAATGAAGTTGCTTCTGTCGTAACAGCTGTGTTAAATTCCTCTTCACTCTTAGCATGGAGCTGAAGCTCTGTCTTAAATGTAAATTGAGGATAACAACAAAAGTGGTCTCTCTGTGCCTACATCTTTGATCTTCTTTCAAATAAGAATGGCCAAATAATGTTTAAGGTGATAACATCTATTTGAAGCCCCCTAATCAAGATGGTTCTCGAATACCCACTGTCGCTCCCACGCTATAGATGATAACCATGACTCTGTGACATTATTACTGATTGTAAGGAATTGATTCTATGATAAATAAGCTCATTTAAGTGAAGGAACATTTCAATATATCTATATTGGAGTGGAAGTTGGATGGGGCAGACTATAATTTCTTACAAAACAGACTACACGAGTATAACGTTGTATTTATTAGCAGCGTGTGCTAGCGTATCAATAACCGGTATGAGAACCGAAATCATAACCTAAAACATTATAAAACGGTCTAACTACCATAACTTCACAGTAAGGTTAAGCCAAGTTCACACTACAGGATTTTAAGCCCGATTTGCAAATCGTTGAGTCGCCGACAGGTCAGGGTGTTATCGCGTGCAAATCACAGGGGATTAGCGGACGATGAACGCTTGCCAATCTGTTAGTATGAAAGAGCCAACAACGCAGCGAAAACGCTCGCAGACGCCTCGCCGAGCCCAGAAACACATCTAGCTTGCTAGATATCCAGAGCCGTCGCGCGACTCAAACTCAGTGATGTCATAAGTACAGCCAATCATAGCAACGCATGGGTTGAGGACACCAGGTAAATTTTCTTTTTTGCATTTTTTTCTCAGAGCAGATTGTCACGCAAACGATGTGCAGCACTAGTTTCTGTCTGACGTCCATATTCACGTGTTGTTTTCTTCTTCGCTGGGTATTGGCGCACGTGCTGTTTCGCGTCATTTCTGGTTCGTTTTATTGCTAGTTTTTCATGACAAAATGTGGTGTGTAGACAAGATAGAATCGTTGGGTGACAGAGTTGTTGTCAACTCATTATTTATTTGATTATTTTCAGGATTTAGACCGTAACATAGTACTGAAACAGTTCTCATTAGAGTCAAAAATGATTTGCTGTTATCATTCAATTGTGGTTGTATCTCTATGTAGTGCGTTGTCAACTCGTGTAGTGAGTTACCTCCTGTTGTGGATCAATCACGTTGTGTTGTGTTGTGTGAACAGCTAAAAACTTGAACACTCCTGATTTCACTGAGAGCAAGTCATGTAGTGTGAACCACACAGTTTAGCCCAAAGTTTTAAAATCATGTAGTGTGAACAAGGCTTTAGAAGCTAGAAAGATGTGCTTGTTGATCTTTGAGGGGTTTAGCTGACTGAGGACGTCCATACAGTTTAATACAAAGACGACAGATTTCGGTTTTGGGAAGGGAAAAAAACGGACACCCCCTCCAACCTCTCTGGGAAACGCGTATCTGTGTTACAAATGCCCGAGGCACATCGTTTAACCATATTTACAGACTGATCTCATGAAGTAGCGTGTGTATGACACGCCAATTCGTATTTCCATTTTTGGCGTGCTATCAATACGCATAATCGCCTTTCAGCGTGTTTATGAACGCCGTTGACTTAACGTTATATAAATATATGACTTACCTCAACCCCGTCCCTAAACTTAACCGTCACTGGGGTTAATGGCATTTATGACTGTTCCCTTACCATCCTAGGTAAAAAAAAGATATGACTTACCTCAACCCCATCCCTAAACTTAACCGTCACTGGGGTTAATGGCATTTATGACTGGAGATTTGACTGCGTGTACAGACACGCGGAATGACGCGGACGTTAATGGCGTAGACATACACGCGGATAGCTCAAAATGCGTAGAGATAACACGCCACCTGACTCGAAAGTGGCGTGTATGTTCACGCAAAAGTCATGATGTCATGTTGATATGTTGGATAAAACTACTACGGTAATAGCCTGCCGAGACCAAAAAATGAGATGCCTGTGTTGAAAGTCAATGGAGAGCAGTGAAAAAGTGTCGGACCTCTGTGGGAGCTCATTCTTGGCTGCGCTGTGATTGGTCAATCTACATTCTAGGGCGTGGCTTAGCCAAAGGCGAATTGCTATATATGTCAGAGGTCGCACACCTCTGGAGCAACTAGGGGTTAAAGGCCCGTACACACCGGGACGAATATCAGCGCGCGTTATTCGTCAGCGTTTTTCAACGCGTTTTTTGTGTTCACACCCAAGCGTTTTTCGCTGACGATGAGCCGAGTGAACATGCAAATTCATTCCCTGACATTAGATGGCGCTTAATGTAAAACAGAAATAATGATAGAATACTATACTAGGGTGATCATATTCATGTCTCAATGTTTTATTATGACAGATTAAAAAAAACCGAATGAAATAATGATAGAAATAATGTCTTCTGTATTAGACAAATAAATATATAAATATATAAATAACTAAAAGAAATGCCTCCAAATGTAACAAAAAATAGCTCTCACAAACTTACAAAAACGAACTAACAAAATCTATTTATATCTTAGTTTTCATTCTCTTTATCTTGTTCTTCCTCGTCCACCTTGTTTGTCCATCTATATTTTGCAGTAGAACTGATCTTTCCCAGCAGTTTTTTTGAAAACAAGGACATTTTCAGCACTTAAAAACAGCCAGGACAGGACGTGGAAACAGGACATGTGTAACGCAAAGTTGAGATGTTGCACAGAGATAAAAACATAGCAGTTGTCAGATGAACAGATGCATGAGAGACGAGAGTTCGTATTTCCCAGTGTTTAATAAAACCACTCAAACATTACACTCGTAATCATACATGGGGATCGAGTGAGAGAAACAAACAAACAAACAAACATCTGGTCACAATAGAAAAATAAAATAAAAGAAAGAATACAAAGAGTCGGCAGAGGTTATCTATCTCCTCTCCTCACTTGTCAAAATCTAACTGACATTACGCACACTATGCGCAGTTCTCATCTCAACTCAAGATTTCTATAAAGCACAAAGTGACCGTTTTACACATGTCCCGGGAAAACAGGACTGTTGGTCACCCTATACTATACTATTATTACAGAAATACTAATATAAATATTATCATATAGCTCTTTATGCTCCGAGACCAGCAGCTCATCATCTTGCCCATAGGTATCTTATCTCTTCTTCGCCGTATGTGTGCTCGGCAAGACCGTTTTGTGTTTGAGCGCCCTCAAGTTGAGTTTTACTGTAACTTCAGAAGTACCAGACACGTGAGCAAACCAGCCAATCTCGTTGGTCGGATAGGTTTTGACGCGGCGCGTCAAACCAAAAAAACGAACCCGAGGCGTTTTTTTTTTAAATTACGCTTTTACGCGTGGCGTTTTTCGCGTCGGTGTGAACACTCACATTGGCGCCCATTGTTAAGTCACGAGGCGTTAAACGTCGACGAATATCGAGCGCGAAATTCGTCCCGGTGTAGGCTAGACTTGACTTGGCTAGGCTAGACATTTACATTCATTTAGCTGACGCTTTTAACCAAAGCGACTTAAAATTGCTATATATGTCAGAGGTCGAACGCCTCTGGAGCAACTAGGGGTTAAGTGTCTTGCTCAGGGACACATTGGTGTCTCAGTGGATTCGAACCCAGGTCTCACACCAAAGGCATGTGTCTTATCCACTGCGCCATCACCACCCCATTCTCACAATCTATTGTGTTATGTGAATGATTAGGCAGGATGATTTTCAGATCATTTTGAAGCAAAAACTCTAGACGACAACATCCATTAGTCAAAAGTCTTGTAGGCACATATTTAGTATGTTTTGTGGCCTTAAATCAGAAACTTTTTTTCCATAAGCACGCATAAACATTATTATCTCAAAAATACAAACATGTACATACAATGTTGCTCACATATTATGGTCGCCCTGTTTGAGCTAAATAGAGTGTGATTTCAGCTGTGCCATTAATATGTTTATAAGCAAGTGAAAAAAGGAAAAAAGTCAGGGCATTAACCCCAGAGGGTTAACACAGAGGTATTCCCCAAAGAGTCAGACACAGTGTCTTTTTCCCTGTTCTCAGACCTATAACCCAAACTCTTTCTAAAGAGAATTAATGTATACAATAGGGGATACAGCCCCTTTGGGGCTTGGGCCTTAGTGATGTGTACCTTCAACGGCAAAAAGAAATAGTGGCAAACACTGAAACCCAGAGACCTTTTTGGTTGAAATGTTTTGTACAGTGTTGACATGTGAAGAGACTCGAAATCAAAGTAACAGAGACTGTTTTGGTTTTACAACAGCTCTAGAATAAAGTTATTGTCCAACTAAAGTTAGTTTTCCATGAAGGTTTCCATGTTGAGCAAAACTCTCATAAACACTTTTAACAGGTCTTAAGGCTTTTCTCCGGTGTGAATTCTCATGTTAATATCTCATGTTAATGCCCTCTCTCCTGTATGAATTCTTGTATGGTCTTATAAGGTTTAACATTGATCAAAACGCTTTTTGTACACTGTTGGCAGGTGAACACCTTCTCTCCGATGTGAACTCTCTTATGCCTGTTAAAGGTTCCCTTTTGTGTTAAACTTCTTCTACACTGTTGGCTGGTGTAAGGCTTCTCTCCGGTGTGAACTCTCATGTGGATTTATAAGGTTTTTACATTGTTCGAAATTGATTTTGAACACTACTGGTAGATGGTAAATGGTAAATGGACTGCATTTATATAGCGCCTTCAAAGACCTAATGGCCACCAAAGCGCTTTACATTTGCCTCACATTCACCCATTCATACACTCATTCACACACCGATGGCGGTCAGACGACGGCGGTCAAGATGAACGGCTTCTCCCCGATGTGAAGTCTCATGTGGTTCTTTATGGATTTAAGTTGACAGAAACTCTTTCCACACTGTTGGCAGGTGTAAGGCTTCTCTCCGGTGTGGACTCTCAGATGCCTGTTAAAGGTTCCTTTTTGAGTGAAACTCTTTCCACACACAAGGCAGGTGTAAGGCTTCTCTCCGGTGTGAACTCTCATGTGTTCTTTCCAGGTTCGATGTTGACCGAAACTCTTTCCACACTGTTGGCAGGTGTAAGGCTTCTCACCAGTGTGAATTCTTGCATGGTCTGCTAAGGTTTGACGTTGACTGAAACTCTTTCCACACTGTTTGCACGTGAACAGCTTCTCCCTAGTGTGAAATCTTACGTGTTCTTCAAATTGTACTTTTTGAGCAAAACTCTTTCCACACAGCTGGCAGATGAAAGGCTTTTCTCCACTGTGAACTCTCACGTGGTGTTTTTTTAAGGTTCGATGTTGATAGAAACTCTTTCCACACTGTTGGCAGGTGTAAGGCTTTTCTCCGGTGTGAATTCTTATGTGGTTCTTTATGGATCTAAGTTGACTGAAACTCTTTCCACACTGTTGGCAGGTGTAAGGCTTCTCTCCGGTGTGGACTCTCATGTGCCTGTTTAAGGTTCCTTTTTGTGTGAAACTTCTTCCACATTGTTGGCAGGTGAAAGGCTTCTCTCCGGTGTGAACTCTCATGTGTTCTTTCAAAGTTTGATGTTGAATGAAACTCTTTCCACACTGTTGGCAGGTGAACGGCTTCTCTCCTGTGTGAACTCTCATGTGTTCTTTCAAAGTTTGATGTTGACTGAAACTCTTTCCACACTGTTGGCAGGTGAACGGCTTCTCTCCTGTGTGAATTCTTATGTGGGCTTCAAAGTGTGTTTTTTGACTGAAACTCTGTCCACACTGAGGGCATGTGTATGGTTTCTCTACAGTGTGAACTCTCATGTGGTTTTTTAAGGTTCGATGTTGATTGAAACTCTTTCCACACGTTTGGCAGGTGAAAGGCTTTTCTCCGGTGTGAAGTCTCATGTGGTTCTTTATGGATCTAAGTTGACAGAAACTCTTTCCACACTGTTGGCAGGTGAAAGGCTTCTCTCCGGTGTGGACTCTCAGATGCCTGTTAAAGATTCCTTTTTGTGTGAAACTTCTTCCACACTGTTGGCAGGTGAAAGGCTTCTCTCCAGTGTGAACTCTCATGTGGTTCTTTATGGATCTAATTTGACAGAAACTCTTTCCACACTGTTGGCAGGTGTAAGGCTTCTCTCCGGTGTGGACTCTCAGATGCCTGTTAAAGGTTCCTTTTTGTGAGAAACTTCTTCCACATTGTTGGCAGGTGAAAGGCTTATCTCCGGTGTGAAGTCTCATGTGGTTCTTTATGGATCTAAGTTGACAGAAACTCTTTCCACACTGTTGGCAGGTGTAAGGCTTCTCCCCGGTGTGGACTCTCATGTGGTTCTTTATGGATCTAAGTTGACAGAAACTCTTTCCACACTGTTGGCAGGTGTAAGGCTTCTCTCCGGTGTGGACTCTCAGATGCCTGTTAAAGGTTCCTTTTTGTGTGAAACTTCTTCCACACTGTTGACAGGTGAAAGGCTTCTCTCCGGTGTGAATTCTCATGTGGTCTGTCCAGGTCCGACGATAATTAAAACCCTTTCCACAATGTTGGCAGGTAAACGGCTTCTCTCCGGTGTGAATTCGTATGTGGGCTTCAAAGCGTACTTTTTGAGCGAAACTCTTTCCACACTGAGAGCATGTGTAAGGTTTCTCTCCAGTGTGAATTCTCATGTGGACTTTAAGTCTTCCCCGATTACTGAAACTCTTTCCACACTGAAGGCAGGAGTAAGGTTTCTCTCCAGTGTGAATTCTCATGTGGACTTTAAGGTGGTTATTCTTATTGAAACTCTTTCCACACTGAAAGCATGAATAGGGCTTCTCTCCAGTGTGAATTCTCATGTGGATGTTAAGGTTTCTATGTAGAGCAAAACTCATTCCACATTGGTGGCAGGTGAATTGCTTCTTTCCAGTTATAATGACTTTAGGTTCTCCATGTCGATTAAATTTCGTGCCTAACTTAAAACAAGTTAAATCATTTCTTGTTCTTGTATTTTGAGTGTTTTTTCGCAATGAAGTCTTTTCAGGCTGTGAACAACTGAAAGATTTTTCTCCAGTTAGGAAATCAAGAAGATTCTCATTCTGATCTTTCTCTTCAATTTCATTGCATACTTCCCTCTCCTCTTTCAGTGCCATTAGGTCTAAGGTGAAAAAAGAAAGAAAAACAAAATGTTATCCCCAGTTTAAATAATGGCAATAGACATCAAAACATATATGTAATGCATCAAAATAAAAATGTCTATTCTAGATCATATATACCAGGGGTGTCCAAACCTTCTCTGGAGGCCTGATGTCCTACAATGTTTAGCTCCAACTTGGCCCAATACACCTGCCTGGAAGTTTCTAAATTTGCTAGAAGACATTGATCAGCTGGTTCAGGTGCGTTTAACTGGGGTTAGAGATAAACTCTGCAGGACAGGATTGGACAACCCTGTTCTATACCTACTATGCTTTGAAATAAAGATGCACTGGTTGACTGGCTAAAAAATCAGAACCGGATGGGTTTTTTTTGGCTGATCTCTAGCACACACATGGCATTGCAATAATTTCTCAAAATATCTAAATGTGTAGAAATATTATCAGTCAGTGAAAAGAATGTTAACAAGCCAGAGATTTAGAGGAACACGGTCAGGGTTCGAAATGAGGGGGTCTGGGGGGTCCTGGACCCCCCATAAGACATTAGGGACCCCCTATAAGAATTTATTTTTGGATTTTGAGGGGTCCCCAACAAATATATTTTTACATGAAAAATTTTGAAAAATATAGGTCTTTAGTGATGTTTTATATTTATAAAAGTAACTAATTTATTTCCTAGCATGAGGCAGCAATCAGGGCAGCTATTAGCCGAGTGATTCCTGCCACATCAAATATTGTTTGATTCCTGCCGCATCAAATATTATCAGTCAAATATTGTTGATGTGGTGCTCACCATAGGTTCTCGCGCAGACACATGTGACACTGTAGCTGAACACGGCAAAACGAAACCTCCTGAATGAAAATCCTGTAAGTGCTTTGAATATGTTTATATCTCCATAATAACTGCTTATAGTAAAATATCAGGAGTTCAATTTCCCTTTCAAGGGAACTTCGAGCTGCGTTGTCAAACGTGATGGGAATGCTCTGCGTGATTGTATCGTGAAGCGTCTGTAAAATCAGTCCAATGAGAGAGTAGGACATCAGGTGACGTCATTGACCAGGAAACTATAAAGCATCCCTGAAGTCAGACCGCGACAGCTTCTGTTGCCTTCAGCAAGCGATCTCTGTACCATCTCTGTCTATTTATTGTTGTCTGGCAAGCACGCAATCAATGGCGAATCAAGAATTCAAGCATTGTGTTGTTCCTTGAACTCATTTCATCACGGGTGGGGACACACATCAGCTTTGTGCGGCTTGTCTGGGAGTGGAGCATGCCCAGTCAGTTCTTGAGGGAGCTGACTGCAAGCATTATGTGAAGCTTTCTATGAGAACGCTCCGCTCCCGCCAGGTGTTCTTTGAGAAGGACGGTTCAGTCCGCGTTCCCCGAGGTGCGGGTCCCACTGTCGCCGAGACACAGCGTCGACTTTCATCTTGGGGTTCGCAAATGGATCTGGTAGCGGGGCTCGAGATGGGCACCGCCCTATCTCAGCCCTTACCTGCTGGATCCAGTGCCTCTGCCCAGGGAGGAGCCCGCTCTGCAGATTCTCCTTCCCGGGCTGAGGCACCATTTCTGAGGAAATGGATGTTGTCAGCGTTGATGTGGGGGATCATGATGTTTCGCCAGCTCATTCCCCCAGTGATGAGGAGCTTTTGGAGGTGTTATCACGGGCTGTAGCTAGATTAAATATCGACTGGCCAGCTGATGAAAGTGAAAGTGTTTCTAATAAAAGAAGTTTACTTGAAAGATTTTTGTCTAAAACACTGCCTCCACGTCGGGGTTTACCATTCTGTCCCGATCTTCACACTGAGGTGGCGAGATCGTGGAATAAACCTGTCTCATTTAGAGTGTTTAACCCGCAGACATCTAATTATAGTAATGTATTAGGTGCTGCTGATCATGGTTGTGCGACAATACCTCGTGCTGAAGAGATGCTTGCGAGCTCTCTCTCTCCAGAGTCATCGTCATCATTAAAAGCACCGACGTTACCCACCAGACCATTAAAATCTACATCCTCTCTGGTGGGTAAAGCATGCTCGGCAGCAGGTCAGGCTGCGTCATGCTTGCACACAATGACCATACTGCAAGCATACCAGGCTGACCTGCTAAGGGAAATAGATGAACACGAGGAAGTGAGCGCTGACGCAATTTGCGACAGATCAAGCGCTCCGTGCCACTAAGGAGACGGCCAAATCAGTGGGCCGGTCTAAGGCAGCCCTGGTGGCCACGGAGCGCCACCTATGGTTGAATCTTTCCAAAATAAAAGAAAAAGATAGATCTGTTCTGCTAGATGCACCGATGTCACCATCAAGTCTGTTCGGCGACGCCATCAACTGTGTCGTCGATAGATTTCAAGAATCTAAAAAACAGTCAGCTGCTTGCTCTCAGAAAAATCTTCCTCGTCGTTTTGATGTTCCTGAGGCAGCTGGTCGTAGAACTTTTATTAAATCTGAGCAGCCTCAGCCGAGTACTAGCTTCTTACACAGAGCACAACAAAAGCAAAGCGTGGCCGCCCGAGGTCTTCCACAATCTTTGGAGCCTCAGTGGCGGTCGCAATCCAGGTCAGTTAGGGGTAGGCAAGATCTGAGGACTGTCATCTCTAAGAAAGCCTGGAATAAGAAGAAGTCGTGACTCACAGGGAGGAGGAGTGTCCCCCATGTGTCAGTGTCCCCATACGGTCCTCCGAGGAGGGTCGTAGAACGGTCAGTTCGGTTGTTCCCTGTCGGATCACCGTTTCAGGGCACCAAAACGTCTGTTCAACAAAATCCCGAGGCCAGTCTCGAGAGACTGGTCCCCTTAGTGGAATTCATGGCAGCGTGGAAACTATGGCCAGATATTTCTCAATGGGTCCTGCATGTGATAGAAAAGGGGTACAGAATTCAGTTCGGTTCTCGTCCACCCAGATTTTTAGGGGTCCTTCCCACAGTGGTGGTCCCCGAGCAGGCTCAGGTTATGGAACAGGAAGTAATGATACTTTTGCAAAAAGGGGCTATAGAAAGGGTTCCTCCTACCAGCAGAGAGTCAGGGTTTTACAGCCAATACTTCATTGTTCCCAAGAAAGATGGTGGGTTATATCCTGTTCTAGATCTGCGTCAGCTAAACAGCAGAGTTCAAAAGCCCAAGTTCAGAACGCTTACACTCAAACAAATCCTGTCTCAGATTCAGTCCGAGGACTGGTTTGTCACAATAGACTTGAAGGACGCTTATTTTCACATATCCATCCATCCTCATCACAGGAGGTTCCTGAGGTTTGCTTTCGGGGGCGAAGCTTACCAATATTGGGTCCGTTCCGTTCGGGCTAGGTCTATCACCCTGCACCTTTACGAAATGCGTGGATGCAGCACTGGCTCCTCTCAGATCCCCCCAGGTCATTCACGTATTAAATTATATCGACGATTGGTTGATCCTAGCTCAGTCAGAGCAGTTGGCGGTCCAACATCGAGATGTTGTTCTGTCACACACGAAAAGGTTGGGGTTACGGCTAAACACCAAGAAAAGTGTGCTCCCAGCACAGAGGACCACTTATCTGGGGGTAGTGTGGGATTCAACAACGATGCAAGCAAGATTGTCTCCAGCACATATTTCTGCTATCCTTACAGCCGTAAAGAATGTGAAACTAGGCCAGTCCCTCACTGTGAAACAGTTTCAGAGACTGTTGGGGCTCATGGCAGCTGCGTCCAACATAGTTACTTTTGGCCTTCTGTACATGAGACCCCTGCAGTGGTGGCTCAGGACCAAGGGGTTTTCTCCGAGGGGAAATTCGTTTTCCGGATGCTTCCCTTTCAGGCTGGGGGGCGGTCATGAGTGGCCGCTCGGCGACAGGTCTATGCCAGGACCATCAGCAGTCTTGGCATATAAACCAATTAGAGATGATGGCAGTGTTTCAGGCTCTCAAATACTTCCTGCCAGACCTGAGGGGCCATCGTGTGCTTGTCAGTACAGACAACACTTCGGTGGTCTCCTACATCAACCATCAGGGGTGTCTGAGGTCCAGAGCTTTATACAAGTTGGCTCTGCAGATCCTACTATGGACCCAGGGGAAATTGTCACTGAGGGCAATATATATTCCAGGGTATCTGAATGTGGGGGGCGATAATCTGTCGAGACAGGGGCTGAGGCCCGGGGAGTGGAGACTCCACCCCGAGGTGGTGGAGCTCCTATGGGAAAACTATGGGAGGCTCAGGTCAATCTATTTGCAACTCAGGAGACAACTAATTGTCCGTTATGGTTCTCTCTCACACAGACAGCTCCTCTCGGACTGGATGCGATAGTGCAGGTGTGGCCGAGGCTACACCTGTATGCATTTCCCCCGATATCAATGCCCCCGGGAGTTCTGGAAAAAGTTCTCCAGGAAGGGGCTCATCTGTGACAGATGACAGACAGTGGCCTCATTGTAAGGTTAAAGAAAGATTTCCCTTCCCTTAAGAGTGTGCATTGCCTTGCACATAAACTAGCTGGCAGTTCACGATTTCCTAAAATGTGTGACAGGATGTAACCACTTTCAACATTTTATATCAAAGTTGTACACAATGCATCACCAATCTACCAAGAATGTACGGCTCCTGTCTGTGGCTGCATCTGCAGTCCATATCAGCCTGCTGAAAATATTAACCATCCGCTGGGTTGCCTGCAGTTACAGCACAGTGCAGGCAGTCTGGAAGGATTTCCCAGCTCTTGCACAGCGGATGAGAGCAGCACATATACTGACGCTGCACGAAAGTAGTACACTGGGATGCTGAACAGACTGACCAGTACAGGCTTTGTCACGGACATAGCCACCATGAGAGATGTGCTTCAGGAACTTAAAAGCCTTTCACTGAAACTGCAAGTGAGTACCTATTCATATTTCATACTGTATAACATGCAATAGATTGTAGTGTGCTTTTATGGTTAGATTTATGGTTAGTTTTATAAATATAAATATATATATATAGTTCCTGAAGAATAAGAGAGAAGACAGACCACTGTGGTCCATTATGTGTTGATGTAAGACAATACTGCTTTAAA